ATATTATAATATCAATCCAAAGTGGAGTTATGAACCTATGTTGACATGTGATAACTTTTTACAAAAGTAAACAAGTAGTGACATCATAATCTGAGTATAAAATACTCAGCTCACTTCAAATTCAGTTTCACTTGTGTATACTGAAAAATAGCTATATAGTCTATTGGAGATGGGTAATTATGCGCATTTTAAACCGCCTGCGCACAGTTACCCACCACGATCTGACTCTATATGAAATACGATTACTTCAATACTAGTTAACCAAACTTAATAAATAACGGACTCCAAAACTTGACGAACATTCTTCCTACATGGATTTCGTGATAATTTTCACAGAGAGGTGAGTGTTTTAACAGAGAGACGACTTTTCTGTCTTGATTACGATTTTATAAGAAACGTTTTTTTTTGCTTTCTATCTTTAGAACTACGGTGATCTTTTTCAAACGATCTTCCAATCGCTTGATGGGTTCTGTCGTCCCTCTGAAAAAATACTTCTTTTATTACTTCATTTATTATTATGTTAACAATCATCGACATACCTGAGTTTGCGAATTTTTACTGTTTTTCGATTAATTTATTTTTTGTATTACGCTCACATCTGAGGAGGGCTCAAATAGAGAGCCGAAACTAGTAATGTTTTCGACGAGATCAAATTATTGTACTTAAAATATATATATGTTTAAATTACTTTTATAATCTTTGTTTCATTATTGATTATTTTTAATTTTATATACATCTATTGAATGATCTATTGAACTTCTTCACAATTTGACTCTTGAAGGCCTTATTCTTCGTTTTTTGTATTTTAAAATTAATGATATTTTATAGAATTATATAGACATAAATGGAGATGCATAAAATCTCAAAACTTTTTACGATGTGCGAATAAGTTTCACAGCGCGAATTAAAAATGGCACAAATGCAGTTACGGGAAAGAGTAAATTTTTATTTTTAATTTGCTTTTTGATGAGCGTTCTATGATTTTTCTTTTCACTGAGTTATTCAACATTGAAGCAAAAAGCGCCGTAGAATTTTGCAAAATCGTAAAAAGTTTTTAAATAAAATTAATACATTTCCACTTATGTCTGTGTAATACATCATAAAATATCAATGAGATCTTTTTATAGTATCGATTTAAAAAATAGAGATTTCAAGCTATTAAATGTTTTTTTAGACATTTTGCTATGACGATTTTTGACAAAGTTACGCTATCTTGAAGTTCGCCTCTTTTTAAGAGATAAAATAGGTAAACTTTTAATTTTGTTAAGTGTAGTTATATTTTTCATCTAAATTCGTTTCTACTTTATGATAAACTGTTATAACTTTCGTAATTTTTTTTACAGTTTTTACTTGCTGTACAAATTTTCTTGATATAATCGCCAAATGGGAAGGGATTGCTAAATGTATCCACTGCGTTTAATCGATCTTATCGATCTTTCATTTTGTTTTTTACTCTGGCCGCAACATTACTGAGGGCGTTCGCGGACGACGAAATTTTTCTCCGCCGCCAACTCCCGTAAGAATGTCGGTCTTTAATAGTATCTCGTCGGTGACTGTACTTTGATCGGTGTCGAAGCGGGCTGACAAGCTGACATGGTTTATTGCACAATGAATTGTTTAAGTTTAACGTTGATGATTTTTATATTTTCTTTACACAAGAAAAGTTGGTGCGATCTACCCTTGATTTAAATGCGTGATTGAGATGACTAACATACGCGGACTTCGATTCTCATTAGGGTTCTGGTTTGACGTTTTGCTTCGTGTCTTTCTGGCAGTGCTATTCGTGTAAGTTGACATTTTATGAACGTGCAGTTAAACAATCAATAATAATGTTGCAGTTAATAATGTTATTAAACTTAATATTCTCAATTATTAATAATTAGCATTAGTTATGGTCAACACTCTATTAAAATCTTTAGTAATTAATATTTGTAATAATAATTAACATAGACATTAGGAATTTTACCAATATAATATTTTATTTCAAAAACAAGTTTTATGGATCTTATTAATAACTTTTACTATAATTTTTAAGAAATAATTTTTTTTTAGATAGTTGTAATATAAATTTTACATTTACTTTTAATATTTTATTAATATGTCAGGAATAATTCTCTATTTTTTCTAATTAATATTAATTAATAATAATTAAGAATGAAAGGAATTGTGTTTATATTACATCTTTACACAAATTTTATAACTCTCTTATTGATAAATATATTAATATAATTTGTAATAAAAACAGTTATTTTTTTTAAATATAGAAATATAATATTTTTAATACTGTTTATTATTGTGTCTAAACAACAATCGTATGTTTTTTTGTTATCGTAAATATGATTGTTATTCATTAAGTACAATGCTAAATTTGATGATTTTCAGGGAGCTGGAAAAAGCAGAACCATTTACAAGAAAAATTCACGAAGACGAGCTGTGGTTATATAGAAATCCAAGAACAGACTCGTTTGTTCCAACTACAGTATTATGGGTAGATATTGTCTTTTTCTTATATGTATACTTCTCTTTAAATTATATATATATATATATATATATATTTATTTATTTATTTAAAAAGATTTTAATAAATATGATTAACAATAAAGTAAGTAAAAATTTTAATAAGTAAATGTTATCTTGCAACTAATTTATGTGGAATATTTTTTTCAGCCTCTTGTATTTATGATGCCGATCGTTGTTATTTGCTTTTTTTTTATAATGCACAAAGATAAAGTCGATTTTCAGCAGTCAGTATTATCTGTAACGTTAGCCCTAGGATTTAACGGTCTTATTACAGACATTTTAAAACTTATAGTGGGTATGTTATTATCAAAAAATTTATACGTAACAGATGCATTAAAACAATAAAAAATATTTACAGTTTTAATAGTATTATCTATATAATCAGTGATGTTATATTGTTTTTTGCCATCATACTCATCATACTTTTAGGTCGCCCAAGGCCAGACTTTTTCTGGCGATGTTTTCCGGATGGACAAATGAATCCGGGATTTAAATGCACTGGAGATCCAGTTGTTATTAGAGATGGAAAGAAGTCATTCCCAAGCGGACATTCCTCATGTATGTCCAAATGTTGCAGCAGATACAGATATTTCTTACATGTGGATAAATCTATATTTCTATATATCTATAATTTTACTTGTATAAATGTATTACTTTTTATTTGATACACTGAGAAAAAAATTGTTTATTTGACTAAATTAATTTAACTGCTTTTATTTCTTTTGTTGGAGAATGAATATATTTAAGTAAAAAATGTAACACATGTATAACTTAAATATATAGATTCTTTATCGAAAAAAATAAAGATGAAATAAATTATTTTAGTCAAATAAACAATTTTTTTTCAGTGTAAAAAACATTCAAAAATAAAATAACAATTCTAATTATTAGTATAAATTATTTATAAAATATATACTATGCTCATAGAAGTAATTTTTGTTCTAGTTGCGTTCGCCAGTTTCGGCTTCATCGCCTTGTATTTAGCTGGAAAATTACATACATTCAGTCTGGCGGGAAAAGGACAATCATGGAAACTGTGCACATTCTTTTTGCCATTTTGCATCGCCCTTACTATCGCATTAAGCAGAACGTGCGACTATCACCATCACTGGCAAGGTAATTTTTAAAATCTTATTGTTGAAATAACATGATTCCATTACAATTTTACATTATAATGACACAGAATTTGTTTCAGACGTGGTGATAGGATCAGTAATAGGCTACTGCTTAACATATGTCTGTTACAGACATTATTATCCTCCATTAGATTCGCCATATTGCGATAAACCGTACGTCGCGCTTACATTACAAGTTCAGTCAGACACTGTCAGATCTAATAAGAACGAGCAAATTAAATGGATATAAAAACATCAGGAATATTACTGCGCCATATATATTAGGTGTTCAACTTAATTCCTGTCGCTTGCTTAATTTAAAACAATGTTCCATACCTTTAAAAAATTTTAAAAAAAATTTTTTGTGATGTAATATGCTAAAAAGTTTGACACACTTTTTAGCATGTTACATTAAACAAATTTTTTTTTAGATTTTTTAAAGGTGTGGAACATTGTTTTAAATTAAGCGAGCGGCAGGAATTAAGTTCAACACCTAATATTTTCAACAGTACTTAATACTTTTGTTAAAACCTTTGAGATCTATATATTTTGTGTATTAGTATATACATCTAAAAATAAATATATGTCTGTACAGAGACAAATTCAGCTATATTAGAATTTATATATGTGTGCGTGTGTGCGCGCGCGCGCGCGTGTGTGTAAGATTTGTTTGTATAGTTACATTATTTATGCTGTGTGTTTTGTTTTATTTTCTTCTGTTTATCTTTTTTATTATTATTATTATTATTATTATTATTAAGAAGATTTGTGATACGATTACTAATTGATTAAAATTTTGTGGGATTAATTCAAATTTCCAGCTGATCAAAGAGCTTAAGTTATAATAACGTGATATTTTTAGTATATTTTAAATTAATCTTGGTCCTAAGACCTAAATTATATCAATAAAATTGTTCTTTTAAAATGTTTTTTTTAATTACTATTACAAATACAGAGTAAAAATTACACTATATTGGGTTTATTATACCCCGTCTTTGTAATATTGTTAAGAATATACAACTACTTCACTTTACATATAAAAGATACACATACAACGCAAAGGAAACATTGTCGAAATAATCATGTTAAAAATAGAAAATATGTAGGATTTATTTCTAAATGCTTATGTTTATATAAGGAATAAATAATTATATTACGTAATTATTTAACATTTTATTTTTGTATAATTTTATTTTGTATTTCATCTTGAAAAAAATTCGTATGTATATGATAAATTATAAATTAATAAAAACTAATAAGTTTTTTTATAGACTCCTTTAATTAAAACAATGAAACCATAAAAAATATATTACAGGCAATAGGAGTCGACGCTGGTTATCACACAATTAGCGCAATTTTTCTTAATACTAAAAATATAAACCTTAACTTTGAACGTTTCCACTCATGGTTTGAGTCTTCATCAGCAATCTTTCCCCCTGGCGCAACGATTGGAGTATTGCATGACAAAATGATATCTCCAACGTTTTTCATCTCAAAAATTGAACCGTTTAACTGTTGTGAGGTAAGTCGCATACTCACAAAGTTACAAAGCTGAGTGACAATGAGAAATCAAGCTAAAATTATATGAAAGATTAGATTATTGTATGTACAATTTGAAAATTAATAATTACCTCACCTCACACAGTCGACGTTTTTACATTAACAATGAATCTCTCTTATGCAACATTTTGTAACTTGTTAATATATTATAAATTATCGTCAAATTTTTAAAAAATAACTGCGAGAACAATATGTGTCTTGTCACTTCTACAGTGGGTTAAATAATGATTGCTAAACAAGTAACATAGCGGTCAATTTGAAGACAAACAAGTTTCTGACATATTATATTACGAACAAGCCTTAAAGTTTATTGAGGATTTCAATGTACGCATGATTTAAACTAATGGTATCATGTTGTAAATTCAGCCCATTGGTCTGTCGATTAATATGCATCATCTCTGATATTAACCTTTTGTTGTAATAATTTTCTACATCCAAAATCTCTACGTTTTGCCAATCAAAGTCATGATCGTTCTGCAACCTATGTAACTATAATAGTATAATTAATAGCCTATTTTCTCTCAAACAAAAGAAGAACTTTGTTATCAAGAAATTACAAAAAGCAACACGATTAACTAAGCAATTTTTAAAGGACAATAGTAATATTATATTCACTATAGCTAACAAAGGCAACTTAACGGTAGCACTAGACAAAAATATGTATATTGAAAAGGAAAAACAATGCTTGATGATAAAGACACGTACATGAAAATTATCAAGGATCCTACGAGTAAAATTAACAATAACTTGAGGCAATTTCTGGCAGGATGGAAAAAACAAAATTGCATTTCGGAATCAACGTACAAACAACTTTATTGTAGTGATAGTAACATTCCTAGGGCTTATGCATTGCCAAAAGTGCATAAACTAAATTGCCCATTTAGAATCATCATATCCTCTTTGGATAGTACATTATATAATTTGGCAGCGTTTTTATATAGTTTAATTGTCAAAAGCATTTCTAAAGCGGCTAGTAACATCGAGAACAGTTTTGAATTAGTTCAAAAATTAAAAAACATTAAAATTGATCATGGTTTTAGTTTGGTGTCGCTAGATGTAATATCACTCTATATGTACTAACATTCCAACGGGTTTAGCAATAGATGCTCTTTCCAATAGATGGGATTGTGATGATTTGCAAGAATTGTAATTTACCGAAAAATGAATTTATCAAAGCTGTTCGCCTAGTGTTGAATTCAACTTTTTTCACTTTTGACAATCAATTTTACAAACAGACTTTTGGAACGCCTATGGGCTCACCGCTTTCTCCGATTGTTGCTAATTTAGTTATGATAGATTTTTAGTTAGAGAATTGGGTGTTGAGCAATATTCAATATCATATACCATTTTATTATAGATACGTAGACGATATCGTTTTTTGTTTACCAAATTCTAAAATGGACTCTATTCTTGATAAATTCAACTCATTCCATCCAAGGTTACAATTTACCTTGAAAGTGAGTGGTAATTCTATCAATTTTTTGGATACAACTATAATTTTAAAAAATAACTCATTAATATTTGATTGGTATCAAAAACCAACGTTTTCGGGAAGATTTTTGAATTTTTTGTCTCAGCATCCAATCTCGCAAAAGAAGGGCATAATATTTAATTTGGTAGATACAGTTTTTTATATCTTACATCCACAATTTCGCAAAAAGAATCTTGAATTTGTTGTTAACCCTTACCGTATTAATATGGGTAATTAGTGACCGAGCGATTTTTGTTCGTGCAAGTTTCTCGCAAGCTCGGTCAACCCGGCGTTTGTTATTGCCGCGTAAAAACAGTTTGTGATGGAGGGGATCTGTGCGCGGTGGTGCGACCCCGGCCGTCAATCTGCCTATTACTACGTTTACACGGCACGCTTTATGGTCGCAGCACTCACACTTGAGTTTCGATCTGGCAGCGCTGGGGTGCGGACGTGCGTCTTCAGTCTCCGTGTTGTTTGACCGTGTAGCGAGTGTATTTTGCCTGCGAGCATCTATTGTGCGCCTTGTTCTAGTCATTTGAACGTTTTTCGTTCCGGACCTTTGAATATAAACTTTGTGCGCCACTGTAAAACACAGTGTAAAAGACACGACTCAATTTGAGGCATTATGCCTCAGCCCCCCGGGGTGGGGGACGATGGCCGCGGTGGCGTTTCGGGCGCATCTTTCTCTCTTAATCCCCCGACTCTTATTCTAAATCCTTATTCACCCTCTGATTCTAACATATCTTCTCCCCCTAATTCTCCCCATAGCGAACAGGCCTCTCAAAACCTACTAGAAGACATTTACAAGGAGGCTGGCTTGACAATGTCGAGCCACCCTCGAGATGAGGCGACCGCGTTAGAGCGCAGCATCATCAACGCAGGTAATGAGTGTCCAGTGGGCCCGGACGGGGCGACTTCCATCACCTCTGGGCCTTCCATGGATTCGTCCCTCATGGACATCGACGAGGAACAAAGGCAAGCTAAAAAACGGGCATTGCCGGGGCTCGCAGAGGAGAATTCTCAAAACAAGCACGCTCCTCCCGCCAAAAAAGGTGCATGCGCGAGAGCAAGTAACCCTGATTCGCCGTCCAGTATTCGGGCGGATTCCCATGAAAATTCAGTCAACGAGAACTCGACCAATAAAATAACGGCGCGATACAGCCAGCGCGACATATGCCAGGGCCTCATAACTGCTGGTACCACCGTTAGTGGTGCCCTCACCTTATGTCACCCGGAAATATGGAACTAATATTCAATATGGCTG